AATTTAGAGCCCATTTTGGAATAAATCAGACAACAGAAACCTTTTATTGGTGGATTTCAGAATAGACTATGGAAATAATAGTCAAAGGCTTATGAACTTCTCTGCCCCCATCTTTAGCTTGAGCTTTTTCAAACTGTATAATTTATAAAATGATGAGGAAATATGATGTGTAGTTTGTAAAACAGCTAGTTATGGAGTAGAGGAGCCATTATCCAAATTCATAAAATGTAATGACCATGAAGTTTGTGTTTTTTAGCATCTGAGATTGATCCATGAGTTTCTAATTTTAATATAATGGATGCCCAGCATCTGTAACCTTTCCTAAGGCATCATTGGTGCCCATAGATATGTTTTGATTGCAGCGGGTGAGATGGATACCTTCTGGCTCCCCTTCAGATTCATAATTTCATCTGATTTGGAATGAGAGTGTCTGAACATTGTTCTTGCCTAACATTCCCAGCCCCTTCATAAGGCATCAGTTAGTAAAGCCAACATGGATTGGATGCTCAGTGGAGTCAAAGACAGTAATGGCATAAACTACACAATGAGATCCAGGAGAAAAACTACAGTCAGGACTTGGCAGAATTAACACATGAATTAAATGAGAGCAGAAACATGGAAAATAGCAGGACTAGAGCCACACCCACTGTGAGCATAATCCATTCCTCAGGGTGCCCAGAGCCTGGGAAGAGTTTGAAAATCTATTATCTACAAGACATGAGCAAAGAGCTAGAAACAAAGAAAACTATAGTTTAAAAATCATATTAAAATCCTCACCCTACAGGAAACAAGTTACTTAGGATTGTTGAGTTGGTTGTATTGAGAAAGGGTAGCTGTATACCTCACAGTTGATATTGTATGGTAGGTTCACTCCCTTTGCACAGTAGAACCACATACAGACCAGAATAGGTATGATTGAGGCCCAAACCACTGACAGCATCATGTCACCATATTAAAGTTCGGACTCTCCTGGTTATGATGTTTAATGAGTGCTCATTCACGAATAGATGAGTGGCTGTGTGGTTGCAGTATTACCACATTCAACTTTGCCATATGCATTTTTGGAGGTTCTCTACCAGGCAAAATAGCAGCATTAGTTAGGTCTAGTCCTGGTGTTTTCAATGAGGTTTTCCCCTCTTTTGTTTACCTTTCATTATTTAAACTTCACCAAGAATCTGTCTCATGATATTATGTCATATTAACTGATAAATTGTCGATGTACACCGCTGCCTGCCTGTTCTGATCAGATCAATTTCTTCTCCAAGTACTGCTCTTTGAGGCTCCTTTCCCTCCTGAGCCTCATCTCTCCAGGGCAGCTGTATTGTCTCCCCTCATCTAGAACTTTAATTCTCCTGCACCGATGCTCACAACACCATTGTACACAAACAGAAAAGAAATGTGGGCATGCCCAAACAGCCATTGACAGTTGAGTGAATGACTCAAACATGGCATGTGAATATTATTTGACTTTCATTTACTTTTAAGTACTTTTATTACATTTATTTATTTGTTTATAGGTGTAAGTTTGTGGCATCCACATATGTGTAAGTCAGAGGACAAATTATGGGAGTCATTTGAGTTCCAGGGATTGAATTTCAGTTGTCAAACTTCCTGGCAAGAACTTTACCAGCTGAGCCATCTCACCAGCCTATTTGGCATTTTTACAGTGGGGACATTCCTGCATTCCTGCTCATACCCAGATGAGCCTTGAGGAACATATGCTAACAGAAATAAGACACACACACACACACAGGAATAATTATAATATGATCTTGATTCTATGCAGTACCTAAAATTGAGTCATGTTCATAGAAACAGAATGTAAGAGGGTCACCACCAACTGGGAGAAAGAGAGAATGGAGCAGGGAAATTCTTGAGTGGAGAGTTTTTCTTTGAATAGTGGAATATTGTAGGAAGGATGGTGGGAGAAGTGGCACAAGAAAATGATTGTACTTGGAGGTATGATATCACATTTTGTACATAGTAAAAAAGAAAGGAAAAGCAAAGAAAAAAATCTACTCTCTTGCCTCCTCCATCTCCAACTTGCTCTTCCTCTCCCTCTCTCTCTCTCTCTCTCTCTCTCTCTCTCTCTCTCTCTCTCTGTGTGTGTGTGTGTGTGTGTGTGTGTGTGTGTGTATGTTTTGTTTTGTTTTGCAATTTTCCTTATAGGCAAGCCAAGTTTCCCTGGTATAAAGCCAATTGAAAACTCCTTCCTCAACACCCTAAGCTCCCACCCTACTATCTCAGCATCTTAACATCTCTAGACAAGCTCTCAAGGCTATAATCTGCTGCCTTACTCTGGTGATCTTGCCCACCTGGCTTGTGCTTGCTACTTTCCACTGTACATTGCCCAGGCTGGGAACACTTGTCAGTCTCCACCTCATTGGACGGCTAAATAGCATTCCCATCTGTTGACCATGCTCTCTCCACGGCATTCATCTCAGATACTTTGGCAAACACCCTTTTCTGATATTCTTCCTTTATTTGTTTTTTCATATTCTTTCCTCTGCCTCCCTTCCCCTGTAAAACCTTTAGATGAAACAGTTGTTCAGACTTAGTTCTGGGGTTGTTTGCTTGCTGACGACAGTCTTCTCTCTGAGAATGTAAGCTCCATGTGGTTAGTGGATAGTTCTGTATCTCACCCTGTTTTGAACCTGTATTAAATGTTTATAATAATGTCTGACACACAGGAGGTGCCTAATACATTCTTCTTAAAGGGATACATGAAATGAAGGAAGTAGAAAAGGGAGAAGGAAGAAAAAGAGAAAGAGGGAGGGGAAAGAAGAAAGGACAGAAGTTTCCCACAAAGCTGTTCAATGCAACCTCTATAGAAATGGACAAGGTCAGGTGTTTGAAGCAAACCTATTCATGAAAATGTAAATTTGCACAAAGAATATGTTGAAAGGTGATTTTTCCACTTTACAAAAAGATCCATCATGGGATTCTTTAAACAGACTACCTAGGTACATGTAAAATAAAATGTTAAGGATTGAAACCATATGTGTGCTCAGAATTTCTCAGCAAAGTGTCTTTTATATAAATCCAGGCTAACCTATGAGCAATTTCCTTAAGGCACCTAGCCCAGAATCACCAACTCTCACATTTCTAAGGCAACAAATAGAGGAGCTTGGAATGCAAGGGCTGTCCTGAACTTCTAGCATGCAAAGCAGTGATCATGGCTACCTAAGGGCTTCGTGACTTTACTCAGAAAAATAGTTAATGGAGAGAGGAACATCCCAAACTCTCCTTCCTGTGTCTTGGGTAAGCAAGGATGCTGTAAAATGACTTCCCAGAGGGGTGCTATGGAAAGGAAGTAGCAAATTGATGCTTTTCTCCCTGCTGCTCAAACCCTGCTGTTCCCTCTGGCACTGAAGACAAAGTCATCTGACTGCAAAGATGGGAAAAAGAAATCAGTGTGATCATAGATAAAGTACAAAGCCACCTCTGAGGGGTTGGGTTTCTTCACTTTAACAAGGTGAAAACCTTTTCATGATCATTTTATCCTAATTTTGTTACCAAGCCACCCCCAGACTCTTTGAAACAATGTCATCTGTAGCCTTCACTCTAGCATGGAAATTTTTGCAGCTATTTCTGCCTTTCTTATTGGACTTTGAAATGAAATATTTATAATAGTTGTGGAACTGGATGATTTGATAGCAGTTCTTGATAAAAAAGAAAATACTTTGCAGAAGTTAAAACTAACAGTCAAACATATTTGGTTGCGGTGGAAGCCAAGCAAGCTACTTTTGAACTGCAGCTCAAGTGAAATAGTTTAGATACCAAAGGAAGGCTATGCTTGGAGTGTGGCGAGAATCATGAAGGTAAACATGAACTAAGTTAGTTTTACCCTTCAAATACAAGGCTGCTTTTATCTCAGAAAAATCTGAAACCTCCAAATTTTTAATAAAATTCAGGACATGGGTGGAAGGGAGCAAGCTTATAGTTTTGGCAAAACTCTGCTCACATCAACTTTCCAAGGCACCATTTCCACCATGACTCTCTAATGTTTTGCATTTTCCACCCAAATGTTATTATATTCAATGGCATCTTGGGAGAAGTGTTTTTTTTTATATAAGTGATGTATGACGGTGTTAACTTCTCCTGTGAATACATTTAGGATAAGAATGACCCCCTAAGCTTCTTCTGAGTACAGCCTAGAAAGCTGCAGAATCTATTCATGGAAATCCTATTTAGATATCTCCTGCTCTATAGGTTATAGTGAGGTCTTGACTATATCAACAAATCTGAATTATATTTGAAAGTTGATGTTCTTAGATTTTTTTGTCTGCCTTTTTTTTTTCTTGGTTTCCTAGCTGCTTCTATAAATGACATGAGGTTGTGAACAGGAATTGATTCAGAAGTGAAGACAGAGTAGAAAGAAGGAGGGAGGATGTACAGAGAATAAGTCGTTGGAGTGCTGAGCCACAAATGGGATATCTATTTGACACCTCCTTCAAAAGGCTCAAGGGACATCATGGAAGAAGGGGCCAAAAGATTTTAAGAGCCACAGGTTGGGAAGGACTGGAGTGAGATAGCATCTTCCCATCATGACAGGACCACTGAGCTCATGAACTCACAGCAGCTGTGGTTGCCTAAAAATGATCAAGACAATTACTATTCTAGTATGAAGGGAAAAGGGGTTTGTGAGCACCTACCCCTGAGGACCTGAACCTATGGACACTTGATGGTTTCTAGGGGAGAGACAGTTTTCTTTAAGATTGTGGCTCCTGGTTGGTTGACCACTCTCCATTGGATGGCCACATACCTAGGAGTATATGAACAGCACAAATTAGTATCAATGAGTTATAAAAAAAAAAAAAAGAATAAAGCATGAAACTGAGCAGTAGGGCTGGAAGGTGTCAGAGGGATAAGTTTGTATGTATGTATGTATGTATATACATAGGACCTTAGAACTGATTAATGAAACTGAGGCTGACAGTTGACCAATGTCCCAGGAAAGACTGAATATAGCAAAATATTGTAATAGTAGATACAGGCAAATGAGGTGAGTTTGTGAAAAAAAAAAAGGCTTGTTAACTGTAATTGTAAGTTCAAAAGTGGGGAGAAGAGTCAAGATTGGGAGGTGTTTTAGTGGTTCTGCACCATGCTAACAGCAAGCTTAGCTGAGCCATGAGCCTCCTGGGAGTAATGCTCAGAGTTACCATTTGTTAGCAACTTCTTCCTTGACTGAAACACAACCCAAAGAGGAATTCCAAAGGAAACATGAGCTCATTTTGTGATTTAAAAAAAATGTGATTCTAGTTGGGGAGAATATAAGACCACCTTCAAATTTTATGTCACATCTTCACATAAAGAGACTCTTATTTCTGTCACAATGGAAGGGAGAGAGTGAGCTTAAACACAGCTGATTTTTAAGAACTCCCAGCTCATAAATGGATGGATGGATGGATGGATGGATGGATGGATGGATGGATGGATGGATGGGCGGTTGGGTACATGGATGAATGGATAGACAGGTGGACAAGCAGACAGACAGAAAATATATTGGAGCCACCAAATATTTAAAATTTGCTATTCGCCAGGCATTTGTGTCTCATGCCTTTAATCTTAGCACTTGGGAGGCAGAGATAGGCAAATTTCTATGAGTTTGAGGCCAGCCTGGTTTAAGAGTAAGTTCTAAGACAGGCTCCAAAGTTACAGAGAAACCCTGTCTCAAAACACCAAAAAGAAAAAAAAATTTCTATTTAATTAAAAATAAAAAAGAATAAATATTTAAAAGTAAAAAGATTTAAGGATAATCTGCCTACACTGAAGAATATGCATTCATGGAAGGACATTCCTTTGATCATTTCATTCATGTTGACTGTCACACTTAGGACAGGTCCTAGTTATAGTTCAGCCACAGTCTTCTTTCATTTCATATGGATGGGTTTCATTTCCTTACACATGCTGAGGAAATCTATGTTCTCGAAACGTAACACACTTAATGCTGTGTACATATAGCTACAGATGTGATAGACGTGTTAAGCATGTGAACCGGAGCAACTTGGGAACTGGGGGCTGCGGACGGTTTGTGGACAGAAGTTTCTGTCCAGCCCAGTCCTGCCACCTTTCAGTCCCAAATAAACACACAGAGGCTCATATAAATTATAAAGTGTTTGGCCAATGGCTCAGATTTCTTATTTGGCTAGCTCTTTCTTAATTATTAACCCACTTATATTATCTTTATATCTCCATATGGTCTTGTCTTACCAGTGATGCCCAGACCTCTGGCTTCCTCGGCAGCTACATGGTGTCTCCCTTCTAAATCACTCTCTGCACTCCTCTTCCCCACTTTCTCCTAGTCTGTAGCTCCATCTATACTTCCTGCCTGGCTACATCCTGCCTGTTCATTGGCTGAAACAGCTTTATTCATCAACCAATAAGAGAAACATTCACAGCATACAGAAGGACATTCCCCACCAGGGGGCTATATTGTAGAGTGAATGTGACCCGAGAGAAAGAGAATAGCATGCAGTATAGATGAGTTCTAATCCCAGGCCTGAACAGAACCAGCGGGATGTGTGTGTCAATGCTCAGAAACACACACACACACACCGCCATTTCCCCCAGAGCTTTTGAGTTTCCGCTGATAAAAGGAGAGCATTTAACTGAGTATTCAATAAGATCCCTTGTTGCCTGTAGTAACATAATCTGATGTATTTTACCTTAAAATGGCAATGGACTGAAGTTCTGGAGAGTCTTATTAGAAATTGTTCAGTTTTTAGTTACATATGAATGGTAATCATTTTGTGTTTTAATTCTTCATTGAATTAATAGCCAGAATTATTCACCCTTAATGGCATAATGCTGTGCTAAATAGACAATATGTGAATGCAAACAAGGAAAGAGGGGACAGAAAAAAAGAATACTTGAGAAACTGTGTTATTTTCCTGCTTTTGTTACCTTAGTTCACTTCGGTTTCATGCTACCGTTCTCGTGCTATTGAGAATACAGTTGAATGAGCTCAGGTAATACGTATCTTACTTTGGCCAAAAAAAAAAAATGCGTGAGTTATGAACACTGTTCTTCCCTTCTAGATTCGGAAAGAAGAAAGATGATAAGGGTGGAAAGCTGGAGCAGAAAGGTGCCCAGAAGCCCGGGAACCTAGGAGAAGAGCTCGAAAGAATGAGAGAGGAGCGGGAAAGGTGAGCAGATGTCAAAGCCCTCCCTTTGTGGACCACAGAATCTGTGCGAAAGTCAGTGGCTCCCAGCAGTCAACAGAAGTGATTTTCCTTTCTGAAGCATGGCAGAGGGCTGCACCTTCTTGACAAAGTGGCGCACCTTCCCCGAGAATCTTTATCGTATTTATAAGAAGAAACCAGTTGTGTTTGCCTTTTATCGGTACCCGTAGCCCATTCTATGTGACTCCCGGTTCTGACTCTATCAGTGCATTTTTTACCATAGCTTAAAGAATGTTTATCCCCCTCCCCTATCCAAAGGTCATTTTGATATTGATGTGTAGAACTTTCAAGTTCCCCTAGTCTGTTCCTCATTTTTGACAGTCTGCTGTATGCCTTTCTTAATTATATTCTGCTAACTCCATTTGGGTCATGTAATTTGAGAAGTACATGTCCTCCTGTTCTCCATTTTTCAAAAGCTACTGTCTTTTATTAGGCTATCAGCAAGCTGAAAAGTATGCTTCCCATCTGTTAAAGGGCCCATTTCATATTTGGCGATAATGGCAGTTTGTGAGGGCCGAATGCTCATATTTGAAGAACATCGTGTTCAGTTTGGACAATAGGTCCTTCACACATCTTTGATGTTAATGCTGGCATTTCTCCCAAGTGGAAGCTTAAATATCTGACTTTAAAACATGCAATTGAATATTCACATGGCTCCTGCAAATTCTTTGTCTTCCTAACAAAATAAAGCTCAGAGAAAGACTAAGGTGAGGCAGAGCTGGATCTAATCATACATATTTGTCTGTGATTTCTCAGGGGGAAGTTCAGTGTATCTGGTTTTCCACTTGCTCATTAGCTAAGTCTATCCTTACAGTTTTCAAGAGTCCATTCTCATATTTTATTACTGTAGTGTACATACTAAGAGAACCATATCTACTCACTGTATCCCCTGTTGACCTTTAACTCCCATAGAGCAGTCAATTCCCATTGAGAAGACTGACTTTGCCAATAAAGAGGCAGGGAAGAGGCTATTTAGTTCTTTCTCATTTTTGAGAGGTTGATAAGCTCTGGTTCCAGGGTCACCAGAGCAGTTAAATGGAAATCAAGTGCTCCACATTGTTGTTGACTATTCACCTGACAGTTACCCTAAAGACAATAAAGGCACTCCCCATCATAGCTGAGAATTCAGTAATCCTGGAACACAAATGTAATTCAGGGACAGACTTTCACGCATGCTGTAGCAGAGACATCTGCATTGGGGGCCTGCATCATAGACCTTTGCTGCTCCCCTGACTTCATTTATTGAGACTGTGTCCAGTGCCTCATCTTCAGGAATCTGAGCTGTTTGCTAGAATGCAGACTGAACACTTTTGCAGTTCAGTGCTTGCTTGAGATGGGGTGAAATCTTCCAGTAGCAGGTGGACTGTGTGCCAGTTAGAAAATTGATAACTAATAAAAAGGGTGGGCTGTCTGTAAGCAAGAGTTCATTTCCTTTCTAGTTTTACCTTTAGGAAGCAGGTGCCTGAGGGATTTTTGTTCTTAAAAGCAAAGCTATAAATTTGCCTCAGCTGACTATATAGGCTTCAGGACCAATATTCCTAAAATACGTCTGGTGAAAATATTGAAAGAACTGTACTATTAGCCTGCATTTAAGCCACCTCCCACATATGTACACATAAAACTGATCCAATGGGGGTTTCCTACAGACAACATTGTCTCAATGAGCCACTGAGGAAGAAGTTGAAGGATCTGATTTTAGGGTTGGATGCTATAAAATTAATGACCAAGGCATTTCAACACTCAGTGGTTAAGAACCATGAGGACCAAAGAAGGTGGAGGCTGAACATGTGGTGTTGCTCACAACCATAGAGTACTGTTCCCTGCCTGTCCATCATCCATAGGAAACCAATTTACAGCTCCCACAGATCTCAGCAAGTGTACTATTCTTCATGGAGAGTTGCCATGGAGTGAAAATGAAAATAGAAAATAATGATAAAGGCTCTCATTGTCCTTTTTTCCTAATATAATCAAAATCTGCTTCTTTGAAATGAGTCAAGTTATCTTATTACTTTCTAATTCTGTCAGTTCTCTATTAACCATTTTTCTAAGTATTTAAAGGCCTTAAATAAAGTACAGACTGTGTATCATTGGGGATAACAGTTTTTCAGAACCAGTTTTTAAACTTCTAAGAACTTTGTAAGCTGCTTTGGCTATTTGTTCTTTGAAATGGGTACACAGATAATAAAAAAAATACTTTTAAAATTGATGTTTATTTTGAGAAGCCAGTTTACCAATAAACTAATGAAAGTCTAAATCAACTTCCTTTGTTGCACAACTAAGAAGAAATTACCAAAACTAGAAGTGGAAAAACAAAAAAGCAAACAAACAAAAAAGAATTTAAACCCAACCATAATATATGGTGTGTGAATGACCTGTGTCCAAATGAATCGCTAGAGGAGCTTGCTAAAAATGAAGCTCCATGAGCCCCACCCAACACTGAAGAATCTAAATCTTGGGAGTCGCAGTCCAGGAAGCATAGTTTATTTAACAGACACATCTGAAGTGACTCTTCAGCTTTCTCAACACCATGAAACACTGATTTGGAAGAATGGGATGCAATTAGGATACCAGACCTTCTTAATTTATGAAAAATGATACCCAGAATTTTTCCTTAGGAAGACTGAGTGACACAGTCTACCACTACCATGACCTTCCTTCATGTGCTTCTCTGAAGCATCCGACCAACCTAATGTGCTCTTCCATGGATCTGTGAAAAGTCTTTCTCAGTGTACCTGAGCTCCCCAGAGAGGGCAAGGCCTTCAATGGGGGATCTACAAAGTGTCATATCATTTGGAGCAGGGCCTAGGCACTCCCCCATGTGTCTACACAGAGAGAATGTCTCTCTATGTATAATGGACACCCAAAGTTCATTTGTATACTAGGGATAAATATTGATCCACTACCAGATGCCCCATAGACTGCCCAGTCCTCCTAACTAACACCCTTGTTCAGGACATCTGGATCTGTCCTATGCTGGATTCCCAGCTATCAGATTGGGGTCCATGAGCTCCCCTTTGTTTATGTCAGCAGTGGGTTTCTCCAGCCTGGTCTTGATCCCTTTGCTCATCACTCCTCACTCTCTGTAACTGCTAAGTTTGCTGCTCTTAATAGTGTTTTGATTATTATGTGGCTAGGGGATTTTTTTTCCTTTTTTTTTTTTTCTTTTTTTCTTTTTTTCTTTTTGTGGCCCACTCTATTTGGTGTTCTATACTTTCATTGTCAGGTCTTTCTTTGGGTTGGGAAAGTTTTCTTCTATGATTTTTGTTGAATATACTTTCTGCACCTTTGGGTTGGGTGTCTTCGTCTTCTTCTATACCTATTATTCTTAGGTTTGGCCTTTTCATTATGTCCTATATTTCCTGGATATTTTGTGTTAGGGCTTTGTTGGACTTAAGATTTTCTTTGGTCAATGAATCTTTTTCCTAGTGTATCTTCAATGCCTGAGATTCTCTCTTCCATCTCTTGTATTCTGTTGGTTATGCTTGCATCTGCAGTTCCTGATCATTGACCCAGCTTTTCTATTCCTAGCATTTCTTCAGACTGTGTTTTTGCTTTTATTTTTGTTTTATTGTCTCTATTTCAGTTTTCAAACTTTGTACTGTTTGAAATGTTTCTTGCAACTTTTGGTTTGTCTTTTCTTCCATTTCTTTAAAGGATTTTCTCATTTCCTCTTTTAGAGTCTCTATCATCTTCATGAAGTTGTTTTTAGGGTCCTTCTCTTCTGCTTCATCTGTGTTGGGAAGTTAAGGTCTTGCTGGTGTGGAGTTTCTATACTCTGGTGGTGTCATATTGATCTTTCTGTTGTTGACTGTGTTCTTATACTGTCGTCTACCCATCACTTCTTCCAGTGTGTACCAATGGGGTCTCTTCCTCTCCTGGTGTGTACATGACCAAGGTGTGTGCAAGCAGGTCCAATACTCTTATGGCTCTCCCAGTGGGTGGTAGTGGAATTAGGGTGCTGGCAGACTCTTGATGTTCTGGTCCATTGGAATGGCTCCTCCATACGCAGTCCCCAGTCCCCAGGATGCTCTGAGCTCCAGAAGGCAAGTGGAGGCAGGACCAGGATGCTGGCAGACTCTAGATAGGCTGGTCTGCTGGGCACATAGTTATATTTTCACATCATGATATTCCAAATACTTTCCCCTGCCATTTATGTTATTCAAATGTGTAGTTTTGATCACTGCTGAGTATTCTATGTGTTTAACATAATAAGATATTTGTCTTCCACTGTCAAGCAATTATTCTGCCTACGTACTTTTTACTGTTCCAGATAGTACCATGATGAGAATCCAGTTACAAAGTCTCCTTATAGATTGCCTCAAATCACACAATTCTCATGCAATTCCTCTTATAAACATCAGGATATATTATTTCCCTTCCATTTATTTGTAATGTTATTTTTATTATTATTCATACATTTTTATAATTTAGCTGCATATCTAATTCCTGATATAGGAATGACTGGTGTATGTGAACACTTTACCTACAACTCTACCATAAAAATGTTAACAAAACCATATAATAATTAATCAGTTTATGGAAACATAGGGTCTTGAATGCTGATTCTCAATGGGAAGAGGCTCTTTTGTACACCCAAGGAAGTTTGGTACATGTAGACACATTTCTGACTATCATTACTGCAAAATGGTGGGGAAGAGGGAGTTTTTACTGCCTTTTGCTGGGTAGAAATCCCTAAACATACTACAATGCACATGACTTCCAACCTCCACAAGAATGAATTATCCAGTCGAAATGTCAATAGTGCAGGGTTGAGAACCTTTATAACCTCAAGAATTCCCAGTATAAGAGAAACTTCCTGGGTGTCAGAAATTGTATCATCTCATAGTATCCTATGGATAATTCAGAGAAATACTCAGTTTGCCAAATGACATGACTCTAAAACATTTATTAGTTGTATGAGAAATTGTGCCTGAATATTGCCGAATGAATATTCCAGCTACATA